GGGGCGCTCCCGTGGCCGGCGAGTCGGGGTGCACGTACAGCCGCCCCGGCATGGCCGGCTCTGCCTTCCCAGCCACCATCCTGCAAACACAGCGGTTACAGATTGCGTCACCTCGGCAGTGGTCACCAGCCCCGACGCAGGAGAGGGTTCTGTCCTCGAACGCAACCCAGCGACACTCCCACCGAGTTGGCTTTGGTCAAGGAGGAAGTCTCGTCTGGGTCTTTGGAGAGGATGAAGCCTTCAAAGGCCGTTCTGCAAGGGGCTATGGTCTCACACACTTCCCCAGGAGAAGGTACCTGCGAGCGGGAGCGGTACCGACACGGGTGGGCATCCTCTGGAGCCATGCAGGGCTCCTGCAGCCCCCAGCCAGGCGGCAGCTCCGGTGGGAAGGGGCTGCTCCCCACTCCGGTGCTGCATGCTGGCACATGGTGCTGCCCCTCGCACCCTTCTGCCAGCTCCCGGTGCCCCCAGACCAGCTCTCGCGGACACAAGGCCCAGCCATGAGACATCCCTTCGTGGCAGCTCCCCCATTACTGTGCATTGTTCTCCTCTTACAAAACACCAATAAAAGCAACGGTACCAAAAGCCACAGAGACTTTCCAGCAGCAATAAAAGGAAAAGGGCAAACGGCTCTAGGGCTGGCAAATGCTAAATTAAACGGAGTTAACAACTATCCATCATCTAGGGCTTAATGTTTAAAACACAAAGCGGCCGCCATGCCGCAGAGGCCCGCCGTCCGCTCCTCTTACCCAGTAGCACTCCAGGACAAAAGCGAACAGAAAAGGGATCTTTTTTTTTAAACTAGAACAGCCCTCATGTGCAAGTACATTATTACAGCTTTGTAGGAAGTCACCAGGTTCGTCCCCATTAAGATGACTATGAAATTTTCCATTGCTCGTCTTCTCACCAGGCGGCAGCCGGTGGAAGGGTTTGGGAAAAGCACAGTGGGCAGCAGCAGCGAGGGAGGAGGGAGGCTGCTGGGCGTGCTTGGGGTCAAAACTCAATGACAAAACAACACCCTTCCTTCATCAGAAAGCAGAAATCATAGCTGCCTCTCGGGTTAGTAAATTTACTATCAACGGCACAGGGAAGGGAAGAGTAACAGAAGAGGAGGAAACTCCAGAGGAAGAATGAATTAAAAGAAAAAACCCCTCTAAACCAGATCTGGCACTGGAGTGTGGTAGGGGCAATCACTGCTCCCTTCCTCCAGAGCTCGGAGTGCACCACTCCACGTTTTGCTTTACAGCAAGGTGCCTAAAAGCAAAATACTACTATAGAAGAATATTACTAGTTCTCGACTCCTGTAGACACCTAAATTTTAAGGCCAAAATGCACCATTAGATCACCTAGTCCAGCCTCTGGTATAACGCAGGCTGGGGCTTTACCCTCTTACACCTGCACGTGGCCAGATGACCTATGCTTGGCCTAAAGCATCTCCTCTGAAAGGCATCCAATCTTGAGGACCTTGGAAATGAACAATCCACCACCTCCACTAGCAGTTTGTTCCAGCAGTTAATCGCCCAGCCTGTTAAGAATATTTTATTGTATATTTGTCTGGTTTTAACTTCCAGCTCTTGTATCTATTGCTGCTCCATGAAAGAGAGCCCTGGGATGTTGGCATCCCTCCCGTGGGAAGGTATTTGTGTTGGTTTCTGAGTTTGCACAGCAAACGGTCAGTCCAATCGCAATATTCTTACGGAAAAGAAGGCAAACAGAAATGTTCTCTTACCATTTATTGTCACAGAATTTGTACCGGTGGTCGTCAGCCGGGACGATGTCGATCAACAGGATGTACTTGGTCTTGGGGTTCATTCCGGTCACTTTAACCTTGTAACTAGGAAACATCCTCCTTAGGAAGAGCAAAGGGTTAACACGTTAGTGAGCAACTCGGACCAGCGTGGGAACTGATGGAAACTTGGAGCAGCACCCCAAAAGATCCACCATGTGATGAATTCACACTAGGACAAATGAGCTATGAAACATTATTGCTGCTTATACATCACCTGACTCAAACTCACCCTTCCCAGAGCACGGGCTGCACAGGGCTGATGCAAAATGGGGCACAGATACGGATGCGGGTATATAGTGGGGGGTTATGGGCCAGTGCCAGGAAAAGGTGGGTGTAGAGAGAGATATGGGGGGGTCAACACACCCCTCCTTACAGGAGGCTCGGACAGGGAGCCCTCACTGCCCCAGGAGGCTCCGCATGACTTACGGCAGCCCCAAAAACGCAGATTTCTTGTTGCAATGAATGTGCATATCTACACTTCAGAAGAAACGAAGCACACACAACCTTCTCATTCACACACTTCCAACGTCCCCGACACCATGTCCCACCGCATCATCTCCTAACGCAGTGGCTGAACCTGCGTTCCCCGCCACAGACTGAAAACTGAGGGTCGGCAAAGCCTGGGCGGGAGACCAAGGGTTAAACCCGGCAGTGGTGCAGACAGCGACCACTCCTCTGGCCTTCCTGAATTTCCCAAATTCACAGCAACACCGTTAAACCTGGTTTGAGCCAGGAGCACTGCAGAGGTCCCCTGCTGAAAATGCACCCATCCCACTGCTTTACCATTGACTTCAGTGGACACGTAGCAACCAACGCCAAACAGGGAATGTCACATAAACCAGTTTATCATTAAAGCATGTTTATATACATCTTACATATCTAAAGAATCTTTGCAATACTAACGAATATATTTTTATAAAGCTATGGCCGTGAAACCAGTATACACCACCGTGGTCTGGTCTTGCAATCTAAAGGAGATGGCCCTGATGGGTGTGGGCACTGCCATGGGCTTCCCAAGCCCTTGAGATTGCATCAGGAGCCGGGATTTGCAGGATCAGGGACTCCAAATTCTCTGAGCAACTATTTTCTTGGCTCCATCTCCCCAACCTCCTCCTCATCCAGTGAAAAACCCAAGGCAATTGAGCAAACTGCTTCACCGCAGCCTTCAAGCAACCAGCCAGTACAGAAAATTCTCCTTTCCACCGGCGTAAGGGGATGGAGGATGAGAATTGCTACATCATTCTAATTAGCCTAATTAATTAGGGCCCAAATCCTGATGTCATTTCTCCACTGGACATCAAGGCCACTTTGTCCCCCCCCACTTCATCCCTCTCTCTCCCGTGTGTTGCCCCCGCGCCCGGCTGAGTTAGCCCAGATCTGCAGCACCATTTTGTCGCTGCTTGAGGAGAAGGCAACAAAATGGGCCCTGTTCGAAATCATTTCAATTGACTCTTTTAACCGCCCTGCATAAATTCCAGATGTTTACCATGTAATTAGCCAGGACTAAAAAGGGGTGGTTTACCAATGTCCGTATTTGATTTTCATTCATAAACTCTGCACTCCTCTTAACCTTGTCCTCCTACAGGTAAGCACCTGGATAAATACAGTAGGACATTTCAATTTGCGAATACACAGCCCAATTCACACGTTGAAAAAAAAACTGCATAAGGAATCCAATCTGAATGCCAAGATTTTCATTTTTTTTTAAATTAGGCCTTAAAATGATATTTTAAAATGAAACAAAAAAAAGAGGAGAAATTGATTAAAAAACAGAAATTCTACGATTCGACAGTTACTGTATTGAAACAGTCCAACGTCCTGCATCAGGGATTTTATAACAGCTAGCTTCTGAATTTCTTCTTTTTCTCAATCATTTCATCCAAGCTGCTAAAGTAGCCGGACTGATATATTGTAAATGTTAAGTGCTTTTTTAATGGCATTTAAAATTAAGCTTCAGCATATGGAGTTCATATAGCATGGACATGCCTGAGTTTATAATGTTCTTTAGTATAGCCCTCTAAAATAAATACAAAGAGCCAAAGTACTACTATAATATATACAGCTGAAATTCTTTAAGGATAACAAATGGGGACTCACATCTGATTGAAGGTGTTGCTTAACTTGCAAACCGCTCGGTATCTTGCAGTGGTAGCATTGTACTCAGCAGTCGACAGACCCAGCTACAACCAAGTTTGCCAACTCTCCACATTCTTTTCCAGGAAAACACAGGGTAGATTTTAGTAATTTGGCTGTGCACGGACATTTCATCATTATTATTAGCTGCTGCATTTTGGCCTTAAAAAAAGAAATGCGACTAATGTGCTGTCCAGGGACTTGTCAGTTTAATTTTCTTAATGAAAACATATTTCTCAAGCCGTTGGCAGAGACTCATTTAGTAAATATCTCTTTGCAATACGATACAAACATGGGTTGTGCATTTCTGGTGTGAAGGCATGAAAAACTGAAGAGCCCGGGCCAAGAAAAAGCAGTCATAGCATTTCAATTAAAAAAAAAAAAAAAAAGAGCAAGAGAGAGCACCTAATATCGCATCTTGGCCCTTATTAAATGTTCTGCTTGAAAGAGGGGAGCAGAAAACCACGGCGGAGGCACGGGGCTGCACCAGCCCTGCCCGGGAGCGGGGCTTTGCCTACAGTGGGTCTATAGATCTTCCCGTCAGCCCTGGGAAGGGGCCAAAAACCTGCCTGCTTCCCCACGTTTACTCCGGGTCAATGGAGCTACTCACAGCCGTAGGCTCTACGCTCAGTAGTAGCTCTGCATAACCGGCCCCTCTGCCAAATCTCCGCAGACAGGAGCTCTCGGGCGGATGGGCGTCTCCGCGGAGGACGCTTCGCTTCAGCCAGCTTTCCCTGACAATAGCTTGCTTCATCTTCTATTGCTCGGGGACCAGCAGTGGCAGAAGTAAAACCCAGCGCTGCAACAAAAATGTGCCAACATCTTGCCAAGCTCTGCGAAAGCTCAGCCCGGCTCTGGTGGGAGGTCTGAAGCAAGACCCGGGCAGACCCGGATTTCATCCACCCTCCTTCCCACCACAAAGCACGACTCCAAACTGGGCGAGAGCTTCGCTGTGTGGAAACCGGTTACAAATGTTGGGAATTTGGGGCTTCCCGGGGAGCATGTCCGGGCAAGCGGCATCTGATCCTCAGCAACACCTCCTGCGCCGAGAGCGGCTGCAGCCCTGCTGCAGGCCTGCGAACGGGGAAGCTCAGCGAGGCTGAGCACCGGGCACATGTGCAACACAGGACAAACCAACGCTTAGGCGAAGCTTAAGCCACCAGTAAGCAGGAGGTGGAGAGCAGCAATCCCTGGCCTCATCACCTTTTGTTCACACCCAAAGCCTGGTCGGACACGGTGTCCCTGGGCTGCAGCAACTGTTCTGAACGTGCAAATGCTGCCATCACCCCTGGGGTGGGGGGCTCCAGGACCGGACCGCTTTCTTCCCCTTGGTGCTCGCTTTTTTGAAAGCCACACGAGGTGTGTGTCTAGCCCACCAGCACACACTGGATGCTCCCATCCAACACTGGGCAGCCAGCGGGACCGCCCGGGGAGCAGGACCCCGGAGCCACCACCAGTCCTGCAGCTCCTCTGCCTGCCCAGGGGCCAGCCACCAGCCCACGGCGTGCCTG